GAGCCAATACTGTGATAACTGCTGCAAAAAAAGGCAAGTGAAATTTGGAGTTTATCAAAAAGAGAAGCGTAATTCCTAATAGCAGGAGCTGGGGAGGGAGCAGAGCTGCTGAGCTCTGCTCAGCAACAATAAGGTATCAGCTGGAATCTCATGCTGGCTTGGGGCATAAGACAGAAGAAACTGGGGAGAGTTCAGAAGAGAGAATGAAAGAGATTCAGAAAATCTAACTTCTGCAACGACCTGGGAAGAACTTTATCTACAAGAGCTGCTGTGGTAGTACAACGCTCTGAAAACCCGTGTCTCTTCTTAAACAGCAATACACTAAGAAGCTATTACACTGAGTGTACTGCTGCCACAGTTATTAATTATCATACTATAGATAAAACTGTATTATGCTAATCCATATGCAGCAACAAAAAGCCTCCCTCTCTGAGACAACTCTGCAAGGGCAGTCTGAGGCTCTTGCACAGTATCTGCAGTAACCCTACCCAGCATGGTTCCACCACTGCTCCAGCAGCTCGGTGCAGCTTGGCACCTCTCTGAAGTCCAGAGGCAAGCAGCAAAGCTGCCTTGAGCTTTTGCACGTAGAGTGCCAAGCTCTGTGCAAAACTGGAAACCAACAGTCCCCAGTGCTTCCCTTGGTGCCAGCCACTAATTGCCTTCAGGAGCCACGGCAAAGCAGGTCCCCTACATTTCTCTTATGGAAATAGGTTTTAATAAGATACTCTATCAGCATGGAGTATCCTTCCACTGATTCTAATCCTGTAAAAAATAGGAGGAATTAAGGATACAGTCCAAAAGCACAGTTCCCACAGCAAGCAGTCAAAGACTAAGGCTCTCTGCCCAACAGTGCTGACTTTCTTTTCCTGCAGCCTTTAGAAAGCAGAGATGGTTAAACTACAAAAAACCCCAAATCCCTTTATCTGGGAAGTTTCTGCTGCACATTTCAGGCCCTAATGTCACAGAGCTGCCTGGCTCCCCTTGACCCTTCTGCCCTCCCCAAGCCCACAGCAGTGTGCCCGCTCCCTCCTTGCCTCCAGCTCGCCCACCCCACAGCCCCACAGCCGCAGGAGCCAAATCTCACCAGCTGCTCTGTCAGCCCTACTCTCAGGATCACCTCCACTGTATGGCTGGACTCAGCAGGTCCAGCAACTCCACATCAGATCGATGCTTGCTCTATATAGGCTTCGTGCTCTGGAAGCAGACACAGGAATACTAAAGCCAGGCTCACTGTGCTGTCAAATGCCATCACGCGGACTGAGAGCAACACCCATGTGAACTCGACCCCAGGCATCCAGCTGCACAGAGCCCTTCAGCAGAGCAGTGTTGCAAATCACCCACACCTTTCCCTGCCTGCATTTGGAGGCACAGCACAGTCAAGATCAAGATGCTGGGGAACAGGACTCGGCAAGAACAATGCAATGCTTATCTGGGCAGGGCATGTTCTGGACTGCTTTCTTTTGGCATTGACGGGCATGGATCGCTTCCTCAGGAAGCTGTTGAGATGCCCTGGGTTGATTTCTTTTTCCTACTCACATTGTGCAGCCCAAGTGAAACTGATGGCATTTGGCAGTCCCTTCCTCAGAGCTATTGTTGTTTCCTGGCAGCGGGGCTTTGTTTTCCATCAGGTGGAAGGCGAAGGCGTTGTCCCTGTTTGGAGGAACATGGAGTTACAAAGCTCCCTGAGGACATAATTCCAAATGCCACACATGGTGTCACTCTTAAGAGCTGTTGGACATGACAGCACTTTCCAACAACACAATACATGAGCACACCATGTACGCTTCGCTACGCTGCTGTGCTTCAAATGTATCATTAATCCCCATGTTCAGATGCCACTGAACAGAGAGCGCAAACCAGGGAGCTCAGCAGAAGTCCTTTCTTCAGACTTTATGCAACACTCAAAAGCTGAATCATGTTTCAATACAAAACTTACTGGAAACATCATTCCCAATGCTCGCTATAAATAAAGAAGTACTTGTGCCATTAATCATCTTAGAGAACATGCTATGCCAAAATGTAAGTCTGTAGAAACAGCAGAAGTGTGTTAGCACCATGTAAGTCTAAGCACTGCCCTTGCTGGTTCGGGCTAGCATTGTTTGAGCTCCTTGGGTGCTAAAGCCCTCACCAAGAAAAGCCTCTTTATGCCCAGGAACAGTGCTGGATTGTGTGGCTGTCAGATAATGCCACTGGAACTGAGCTGTTACATGAGAACCAGAAGGCTGGAGCAAAGGAAAGAAATTACAATTTCCAATTGCCTCATCGTGAATGGAGTTCCCAAAGAATTCTCGCAGCCTGTTTTCAGACAACACCTAAGGATCACATCCTCGCAAGTGAAGGACACAGAAGTCCCCTCTAAAACCCAGAATGCCACTCTGCACCCTCTGGCAGAAGCTGATGCTGTAACACACGCTCCCTTCCCTTTCTTAAATGGAAGATTGAAAGTTAGTTTAGGACACTGCTAGTTTCTTATATGTCCACAGATTTCCAGAGGAGGACTTGAACGTTCAGTTTTTTAAGCTCCTACATCCAGTAGTTTGCTGAGAACCAAACATCCTCCCAGTCTGGGCTAGGCATCTGGAAGATCATAATGCAGCCCTGCAGAAGCGATAAGAGTGAGGGAAGGGATTGTTCACCTGCAGCCCCTTCTTGCTCTACGAGACACTACAGATTGAACACCCTAAAGGCTGGCAGGTTTTTCTGGTTTTTATGTTTCAAAGCTCTCTAGTTCATGTAGAGAAAGTTGCCTCTAAATAAATCCATGTATGGACGCAAATACTCCAGAGCAAGAGACACCCAATTTCCCTCCAGCCTTGGAGCCTGCTCCAAAAAAAGGAAAATAAAAGATCCTATTCCCCACCTATGACTGAAGTTGCACATTGCTTAAATGTTGATCTGTAATGAGGACGCTTGAATGACGCAACCCAGTGGAGCTGTCTGACAATTGGATGGCTGTCCCGCACTTGTAGCGATGCCAGTGGATGCAGACAGCAGACTTCTTAACCTCCGGCTGAGAAGATTAAATCCTTAACAGCGAGATCTCTTCTCCCCTTTCTCCCTCCTGCTCCCCGCTCCCATACAATACAGCCAACAGCATAACAGAGGAACCTTAACAATATACCTAAAAGGGAAATTTGATTTTCTAGCGTTGCTCATGCACAAAACAGGCTAGGCTTTCAGTGCCACAAACAGGTATCATCTTACAAAGCTGCCTGAATGCAAGCAGGCAAACATAATCCTCCCATGCCTTAATGAATATCAGGGCAAAACACCAAGTGTTTTCCTCATGTGCAAGTTTCCCTTCCCACAAAGCCGTCAGGAATCCATAGGGCACATGCAGGCGGAAAAAGTGCATTAACTCAACGCCAGCAGGAGGGCAGAGCAGCCCTGCTTGGAAAAACCAACAAGGCCATTCCGCCAAAAGATTTTATTTGTGTCAAGGATCAACTGCTTTATATGGCTTTGTCACCAAATATAGCAACGCTACCCCATACACAAAGGCACTATTTTTAAGGACAGCACTTCTGGAGGAAAAATGGGAGTTCTTTTTTCCTCCTAAAAGCTCTTCTCAGATGTGTACGATACAGATCCAAGAAACGTCAGACAGGAAAACACCCAACCAACCACAGCTGAGCTACGTGTGGCCCAACTCCACCAGGCTCAGCGGTTTTGGGGAAATCACTGCACAGCTCCATCTAAACCAAGCCTTCCTTCAGCTGAGACTTACAGAATTATTCAGTACCTCCAGTTAAGACGTTCACCTTACTTAATTCCCGACACAAACTCTATACGACAATAAAGAAACGCTGTTTTAAACGAAGCCGCGCCTCCAGCGACGCCGCGATCCTCTGAGAAGCTCTGAGCGGACGGCAGACGAGGATGACGGGCGCACGGGAACCGCTGTCACAGAGGCGCAGAAGGCACCGCTACCGACCAAATTTGGCAGCGGGGAGCCGTGACAAACTGCAAAAGCACGCAGCAGCGCAGCAAATGGCCCGGAATTCTCCGCTAAGAGCGCTGCGAGCACCCGCGTCTGTTCGGCGGGGGGAAGAGCACCGACCGGACGGACAAACCGCCTCTGGGCTCCAAACGCGGCACTGCGCCCCGGTGTGAGCGGCTGCGGTGCTCCGTGTCGTTATGCTGCTAAACGGGGACAGGAGGAACCGAGCTACACCCGAGTCCCGCACGTCCCGCGTTGGTCAGCAGCGCTACACAACCCGCACGCAGGCAGGGGACAGCCGCCGAGTTCCGAGAGCGCACGCGAAGCCCGAGCTCCCCTCGGGGCCGGTAAAGCTTCACGTACGCGGCGGACGGCCGCAGCGCAGCCAGCAGGCCGTGCCCTCGCCCCGCCACCGCTCCGCCGCCTTGCTCTGCGGACGGACAGCCGGCACCCAGAGCGGCACGCCGCAGAGGGTGGCCGAGCGGAGGGGAGCGGAGCGCGGCACGACACGGCGCGGCACGACGCGGCCCTCCCGCCGGGCCCCGCTCCCCGAGGGCGCCCCCGCCCCGCCCCTCCCCCAGCAGGTGCTGCCCGGCCCCGGCTCGCCGTCCCGCCGCCCCTCCCCCGGCCGCAGCCCCCGGCCCGCCCTTCCCGCGGCGGTGCGGGGCTGGCGAGGCGGCGGTGGGAGCTGCTCGCCGGCTCCTACCTGCGGCTCCTGCGTTGGCCGCCAGCGCCAGGACGAGTGCGGAGAGGAGCGGCGGCGGCGGCGGCGCAGCGCGCATGAGGGGAGGCCCGAGGGAGCGGCGGCCGCGGCTCCAACCCCCCCTCCGCCCTCCGCCCTCCGCCCCTCGGGATAGCGGGGACGGGCCCGGCGCCCAGGGAGGCATGACGGGAAATTCCTGGGCACCGGCGGCCAACGCCAAATAAGAGCACGGCGCGGGCGCCCCGGCCCCGCAGCGCCGAGCTCCAGCGTGCGCCGGGCCCTGCGCGGAGCCCCCGCTGTGTCCCCGCAGCCCTCACGGGAGAGAGGCGCCCACAGATGGACGACGTCAGACGCGTGTAAAAAACCCTAATAAACCTTTAATTCGAGTCTGCTTCGCGTAGCGTCAGTTTGTACAGGACAAGGTGACAAATTACAGCAAACATCTGATTCCTCTCACATGTTCGGTATTATACACGTCCCCCTCCCTCGTGCAGGAAGGGACACTGGTCAACTTAACAGTTTAAGGTAAAAGAAGCTGCATAATAGTACATATTACAATAATAATGTACAGTGTTTACAAGAAGTATATTTCAGAAGCAAGATGGATGCAGCTGCATCAAGAGGCGACCTTTGAAAATGCCACAACTATTTTTACATTCACTCTTGCAACGGGTCACAAGATGGGTCACTAAGGTCAGGTTAACAAGTCACTGATGCACATCGATACAACGCCATTAGTTTATATACATATATATAGTACATATACATGTATATTATACATATATGTATATAGTAAAACTCGTCGAAATCTACCAGTCCTGGCACAATTCACTTACCCACCAAAAATATGTACTCGTCCTCGGTAAGCGGAATTCTGCGTGGCTGATTATATATTATATATACTCATTCATTAGCATCTGAGACATAAAACTGAGGATTTAAAAGTTCTCGGTTAACAAACTCTCCAATAATAAACATGGTGCCCACAAAAGCACGAAGGTAAGGCACAATAGGATTTCTGTTGCAGAACAGTGTGCATCATGTTTACTTAACCATACGAAAAACGTGCATTATTTGTGCAAGTCCATGCTGCAAATCCATCGTATCTACAAAGTAAAGTGAGTTTCAGTTGTTTCTTTGGACCGGCGCGCTTCCAGTCCCAGCACGTCCCTGTGGGATATTTCCCCTTGCTACTCGGATAACATCACGGTAGGAGCGACGGGATTAAAGGAGCCAATAATCTCAGATTTGCAACTACGCTTCTCAGCAACAATTTTGCACTTCCAGGCAAATTTCTGCCAAGTTTACAAACTCACAATCACCAGATTTACTGTCAGCCGTACTTGCAGCTCATGTCAGCCAAAATTGTAGCAGGGAAGCGAGCACCTTCTAACATTTTAAAAGGAAACTGCTTCATCACTTAATCCCAAATGGTATTTTGTCACAGCCCTGGCAATAGTAGTAATAAATACAGCTTTTCACAAAATACTTTTCCAGTATCTGCCAATTGTGTCTTTATTGCTCACAAATTCGAATTTGTTACAATTGGTATCAGACCTCTCACACAAAATCATAAGGTATTTTAATATAAAACCTATAAAAGATATTTAACCTGTATCTAACACTTTAAGGTATTTGGCCTCTTGTCACGGTGCAGCCAAACCCATATAAAACATCAGGTGTTGAATAAAATAGGAAGCCTACCCACCGCTTCGATGCAGACATCCTCACAGAACAAAACCAGTTTTGCCACCACCAGCATTTACATTTATATACAAAACCCATTACATCCGCATTCAGCTCGTTTTCCCTCACGCTTATATGCAACCACTAACGCCAGATTAACTTCCCCCATACCCTAGCTGCAGAAAATTATTATTTTACGGCAAGGAAAAAAAAAAAAAACAACTAATATTGAATGAAAAAAATATATTTTTTTCTTTCTTTTTTTTTTTTGTATTTTTTTTTTTTTTTTTTTTTTTTTGTAAACTTATTCACCATCAGGAACTGTAGGTCGTTTGTTACAAAATACCCACAAGATTATTTCACAGGAAACTATGGAAATACAGGAAGTCTTCTTTTCTCCATGCTTTTGTATTATCAAAAACACCTCTTGGTGCAAAAATACAGTCACCACATCTGAAAATGTTTAATGAATTCGGTATTCCACATGCAAAACTTAAATGCATTGCTTTAACGTAGCCCCGGATAACTTCCTGAAGCAATTTCTTTTTCCTGTCAGCTCAGTATCACTGCCTCACCGCTAAGTCCCTTTGGAAACAAGATTTCTGGAACGTTCCAACTTTTATTTAAATCATTAAAGTATTACATACAAAAAGCACTAAAAAAGGAAGACGGCAGCCAAACAGGAATAGTCCTGTTGCAAGTAACAGTCCTAGCAGTTGTAGAAAATCTCCTCAGGAACTTCCCTGAGAATGAGTTGTGCCTGTCCGAAGACGGAGATGTGACATAGAGTTCATGTGTTTATTTGATGGCTTTAGTGGAGTGTTGCAGGTGAGAGCCTGAGGAAAACGATGATGGTATCGATCTAGCCGCAGGTATTTTACTGTTACCAGCTTTCCTGGAAGGCAAAGAAATACAAAAACAAAAGCCCTCTAGTTTACCATTATTACATTTGGCCTCAGGATGCAGCGAGCAAAACCAAACACGTTCATTGTAATGAAATTAGTTTACCAGGTGATAAATACTAATAATGGATATTATTATGGATAATACTAAGAACACAACTTTTATATCTATCAAAAGTATCAAGATGTAATAAAACGCTTGGTCACTTAAAAGGACTCCAACCACAACCATCTTCTGCTATTTCTACCCACATTTTGCCACGAACCCTGATTTCTTACCATCAAACCAAGAGCCATGTAATGCCTTAAAAGCCTTCCCCGCATACTCTGGAGACAGACACTTGACATATACACAACCCTGCAGTAAGAAAGAGTCTTTGTTACAGTCCAGCTGACAAGGAGAAACAACATTATTAAGTTGTTACTGGAAGGACGCTCACCTCACGTGAATTTTTGTCCACAGCAATATGAACAATTCCATCATTATCACTGCATTTCTCCAAGATTGCTTCTTGAATTGCTAAATGCCAGTGATCACCTATTTCCCTGTGCAAATAATAAAGGGTTTAATTAAGCATGTCTACTCTCAAGAAGTTACAGAAGATGACAGAGGAACAAAAGCATTAACAGCTCTAGCAGCATGACAGAACGCTAGCCTGAAGAACACAGATTCTGATTCAGTAGTTTTTGTAAAAATGCATGTTTTCTCCCATCTGCATGTTCTATGCTTTGGTTTGCACTACCAAAATGTCTTAGAGTATACCAAGTAAAATATTTTGGGATTTATCTGAAAGATATATTCGAGAGGACATTTAATGCCCTCCAGCAGCTAACAGGTATTTATTTAGTCCGTAGGATCTGATTACAGTAGTTCAAAGCATAAGACTTAAGTTGCATACAGCATAATGTCAGGTCTTCAGCATCCTTTTTCTCTACTGATGTTCTCCTCTTGCACTGTGCTACTTAGACATACTCTGTACATTTTTGATTGATTACTTGAGCTGAGATCAAGAACTTGGATAAAGTACAAAACCATATCTTAAGACGTACCTACTTGCAACTAATTTGGAATAAAAATTGAAGATTTCAGCTCCATTCGTAACAGAACAATTTTTGGTTTTATGACATACAGGAATTCAAATGTGATATTTAAAAATCCCTTCAGAAAACAAAGGAAGTTCCCTTTGGTTGTAACATGCATGGTGCTAAAGTACAAAATCCCTGAGGGCAGAATTTCCTATGAATGCACACCCATGCATGGTAACTATATCTCTTCAGAAAGGAATATCAAATTCACAGAGCTACTCAGCATCTACTGTGTCAACAGCCAGACAAAATTTAGTTATGTTACTCACCTTTCTCCTCTAAAATGAAAGGCAGAAGTAAAACATTTTATATTGCTCCTGATTAAAGAAACTACTTGGACCTATGGGCAGGCATTAAGAACATTCAGAAGAGGAATCAAGCCTGAAAAATCCACTTGCTACAGAATCAAAGTTTTTTTCTTCAAAGGAATCTCCTGACACTTTCAACCACCATTCTCCACCTCTTCAGAGTTACGTGCACAGAACTGTTTATCTGAAGGCCAGTGTAAAGTCTACTGGTACTTAGTTCATGGAAAGTAAACATCCTCCTGTCATACTGGCAGTAATCTCGTTCTTGCCAGCTGAGTGGTTTCTTTAGGACTCTACACAACCTTCTGGCACATGAGACAAACTGAGTACTTCAAACTATCAAATGGTCAAGTAAATTGGGTGCCCATGGTCTGCTTCAGAAAATTCAATCCTATGAACCAAGAGGAACAATCCACACTTTGGGTGTTGCAGCCTGTTATCACCACCTTCCTATCTGAAGCTGCAAGCAGTCAAAGTTCATCGTTCCACACCTACTTAGACAGGCTGGCTGTTGTTCCATGAAGGACAATCTTCAGCTGCTCCTCCCTCAGCAGCAGAAGAGGAGGAGAAGACAACAGCATACAGACCTATGCCACTTTCCTTGTCACCTCTACCAGCAATCACAGAGCAACATTAAATGGTCAACCTTCAGCAAGCTGAAACAACTTCTTAGCTATTCAGACATTATTCATCACTGAAACGGCTGCTGCCTTCCCCAAACAAAGCATCAAGTTGTACTTGTCCCAGAAGGCACCCACAGAACATGCTGAGTGAGCTCCAGAAACAGAAGTTAGTAAAAACTGATTCTAATTTTGACAGACTTTTAATGAAAAAGTATTTTATTAACATTAACCAACCTTTAAATATATCACTAGAGAACACAAAATATATGCATTTTTTCTGAAGGTGCAGCAGTCTATCTGCCCCCAGTAAGATAAACCGCAGCAGAGGGAAAACAATTTCAACATCTTTAATACACCTTTAGCCTACTTGAATGGCATCCGCACAAACAATGAGTCTGCTTTTTCAATACTACTATCAAAAGCTTTGAGCAGTTTTCCCTAAGGCCAAAATTCTTGAAATCTCTGCCTTCTTTCTTATTTAGGATAAAAAACAGAAAACAAGTACAATGTAAAACCCCGCAAAAATTTGAAGATACATCCTGCTCAGACCGAAAGACAAAGTGTTTCCTTTTTACTAGCTAAAAATGGAGGGAATATACAGGTCTCATTCCCTTTTGATAACAGCTTGAACGCTATTTAGAAAATAGTAACATGTCGTGCTCAGAATGTTAGGGAGATAAAATAATTCAAAGTTACAAAATCTAGGTTTGGGTTCACTCCCTCCCAGCTCAGGACTCATGCCCAAGGGGTCAGATTTTTCTTAAACATGCTGTTATCAGCACAAAGCCAGCTACTACAAGGAGAGATCACATTGTTCCAAGTAGGCAGTCATCTTTTCAGCTGGTTTGTTGTAAACCAAACGTTCTTTTTCCCAAACACTGCAAGTCACTCTGCAGTGCTGTACCGCAGTACTCTGAAGCACTCATTTCCTGTTTGGAAATTTAAGTATATTATTCATATACTGTGCTTACTGTGTTTTGTAGACCTGGGACATGAAACATCAACAGCTGTCAACTAACTTGGAGTTGCTGTAATGAAACAGGCCCCTCACAAAAGGAACGACTTGCCCTTCCATGATCCTGCATGTACAGCCCATCAGCTTTCAATGTGATTCTTGCAGCAATGCAAGAAATGTTTTATGTACCCTTCTCATCACTGTTTTAGAGGCAGATGCAGATAAATTGTTTATTCAAATGATGCCTAGACTGCTATTTCCAAGGAAAATTCAGCATTTGGCATAGTAAATACCCAGGACAGTCAAAACAAATCATAATTTTAAGTCAGCTGCTGTGGTCTGAGGGTTCACAATGTCCAGGTAAGTTTTCTGACTTTAGACAGTGGAAAGAATTACTGACTCTATCAGCACTGATAAATACAAAGTAACCAGCATATTTTCCAGATGATTCTCAGATCAATACAGAAGAGCACTATCACGGATGGCTTCTTCTACAAGCTACTGGCATGCTGTTGAAGCATACTCAAGTTGTTTATAGTTAGCATACAGTAGCACGATACAAAGAACAGCTTAAAACTTACTCCTTTAAACATATTTTGCACCCTTTGCAAATGTCTCATCTGGAGTCAAAAAACATTTGCAAACTTAACCACATACACAGTGGTATATTCTGTGTTTCGGCTAGTCTGAAGGCATTCAGCTCTTCCAAACTAGAATAAGAACATCGCCCTTCTTCCTCCTTTGACATGAGCAGTTGAATAAAGTATTTCTTCTCGCACAGAGGGTTTGCTGTTTATTTTTGAGTCACTCCAAGGGTGTGAAAAACATATTCCCTTAAGCAACAGCCCTCTGCAAGACAGCTAATGGAAAAGAAGTGGGCTGGAAGGTACAAAATGAATTTGGACCAGGATCCCTCTAGGACTATAAACCATCAGTTCAGTAATGAAAGACAACACTCAAAAGGAAAGCTCAAAAAAAAAAAAAAAAAAAAAAAAAGTTTTTTTTCTTAAATGAATGTATTAGATAGAAGTTGCAGTATCCAAATAGCTGAATGGACACAGATGCTGGTTTATAAAACATAGCTTAACACACTTGTAGACTTGTTTCTAGAACTGACCCAGTCGACAACAAAGGCATCCCTATCTGAGAAGACTGTTTTCCAATTAACCAATTAACATCCCAGTTACTACTTCCATTAACAATATAACAATTAATACAGTATAGCACTAAATGTTACACTGAAGTTTCAGGAAGTGATTTCTGCACTACTGGGACTGATCATTCATAGTCTCCTTTTAGCAAGGACTGTAAGGACACTGATCACACCCAAATTTCTCAGCAAATCTTATCTTCCATCCTCCTATAAAAGGATCTATCAATCTGTCTCAAGAACAATGCCTACATGTTCAGTCTTGCTGAAGCTATGAAAGAAACAACAGTGGGGGTCTCTGTCCACGACAATCACCAAGCCTTAAAGCCAACAAGAAACAGTTTTTAGGGTAGTTCTCTATGCTAGGAATAACACTGTCCTCAGCTACACTAGCTAACACCTTTCTAGATAATAAGATAAGAAACTAAAATAACGAAGAATGACTAAAAGTGAAACAAAATTGAAGATATATACCTGAAGTTAGCAACAACTTATGCCTACCTCCACTATCTTCTCCATATTCTTAATTCTCAATTAGCATGACAGTACTTCTCAAAAGCAGCACAGCACTTTCATCTTTCCCTTATGTAACCATATCAGGGTAAAAGTTACTTCAAAGAGGTTACTGAAGTCCTTGCACTGCACTGAACAAGGATGAGAAAGCTGTACCTGATAGAACCAATGTCAATCTTCTGTGTGAGGCCCAGCCCCTAACACGATCTAGCCCACATCAAGGACAGTAGGTGAAGCTTTTAAAGACTACAAAATTTAATTATCTTGCCTTAACTCCTGACACGTGATTAAGTTTGGAACTTCTTTATATACATTACACGTGAGTATTAGAAGACTACTTTGCAGTAATTTGCTTCAGAACCTTTTGAAAAACCCATTTGCTTAGTTAAGCAGTCACACTGCCATAGGATAGCGAATGCTTTTAATTCAGCATTTCAAATGCAAACCACATGACTTCTATCACAGTCTAAACGCTTCAGAATACTTAACCCTTGAGAAATCTGTCATCTTTTAGGATCGGGCCCAAAAGTCTTCCCCCTGTCAGTTGCTAGGATTGAACATTTACAGCATCAATTAACGGAGAAGAATAAGTCATTGCTCCAAGCAGCATGATTATATGCCACACTCTTAAATAAATGACTCGGAGACAAGAAACGAGACAACGAAGGACAGGAGACAGACACTAAAATTATGCCTTCCCATAGATGCTAAAGATAGATCTTGTACAACTGGCTTGCTTCTTTCAAGGTATACATGTTTACTCACTTATAAGCCCTTCCCAGATGACAAAAGCAGACACCTTCATATGAATACAGAAATACAGAGAGAACAGTTTTTACTTACATAACAGGGTCAAACATATTGCGAATCTTTAGACATGGTGTCAGGCTGTTTGGAGGTGAATTTCTTCTATCTAGATGAAATGCTAAAAAATAAATTTAATAGTATTTATTGACATGCACAACATTATCTAGGTAATAATGCCATACATTAAAAACAGAATACTTTCACCCACATATGAAAAGGCTTCACACAAATTAAGCTTCCCAGTCTTTTACTGCACTAAGGAAAATGTACCACACCTATTATTTTTTTTTTAATACAGACCTAGATGTAAACAGATAATGCATTCTCTCATGTTCAGTCCATTGTAAATGAAAGGAATTAAGGGCATTTAAAAATACCATACAGTTGAAAATAAAGTGTTGGTATTGTCTCTGAAAAGACAGATGCTCTTAGAATCTGGATCAAGTTTTTGGAGCTGTAGGTTAACACTCAGTTTCAAATACCTAATAAATTAACATCCCTTTCCACTTCGAGGGCAGTCTGTTGTCCATTTGACTAAGAAACAGGGAGAGCCAAACACATATCTGTGTTGCAGTAACAACTGTCAAGAATGGAGCTTTTCTAAGCCTAGATGCTCTACACCTGTAATCAGAAACTTGGGAAAAAAAGAAATGAAACGCACCAAAAAACACAACAGATACAAGAAAAAAGGAAATTAAAAATAACGAGCAATTCTTTCAAAGATGAGCAGGCCCATTAAATATTTATGTGGACTTCTAAAATAAGTATCCTCCTTCTAAAGTTCCTGAATTCTCCATTTAGGAGTCACAACAGAAGATTGCATCATGAAAAAAGAAATAATGGAGCCCTTTAGATTCAGCTAAGGCAGTCCCACATCACAAGGGGCCAATGATGTGCGCAAAACAACTTCCAGCATTCAAAAGAAGTTTCACTTTGAAGATTTGGAGATGAGTAGACGCAAGAGTTTAAGGATCAAAACTCTCAACAAGACAAAATCAAGTTCCAAGCTGAGGCTACTGCTTCTCCTTTTCAAAGCCTACATTGTAGATTCAAGATGCCACTTTCCAGATGTTACAAGTCCAAATTCTGGGCAGCAGTGCTTGGTACTACTGACCTTTTAAAACAAAATCTTGCAAGTACATCCAAGACACATCCACATCACTGTTCTTCTGTAACTCATCAAAACAAAACCCTACTGTCAGTCACACAAGATACTGCACATCAAAGAAAAGCTCTAATGATGAGAAAGCAGCCTGCAGATACAGCACAAACTTAAAAAGAGAAATTTGAGGTTGAAAAGAAAAAAAAAAAGCATAGTTATGTATTATAAGTTACAAGAAGTGGCCTCTGAATCTAAAATGAAAACCACCACAAGTTCCTCAAATAATTATAACTGTTTTTATTAGAGCATAAAAGCACGCAGTCCAAGTCACCAACAAGTATAACAATTGTCCAGTTTTTCTTGACAATGGATTTCTAACCATGCTGGTGACACTGCATCCATCTCTGAGCTGCCTACAGTTTAAGGACAAGTCCTTTTTCAATAGCACATGGTTTTGTAAAGTTTTTTGTCCCAGGTTTAAAATTACACAGAGGGTATACAATAAAACTTTACAGAACTAAGCAACATTGAAAAATAAAAGGACTTACCTTACTCATGTAGGTTGGCTCCAGCAGATCAAGGGAGGGTGAAATGTCACCAGCATATTGTACACTGGGGCACAAGACCATACTGGAGAAGGTGATCTGGGGTGGCCTAGTCATGGACCCGGACCTGAAAAGGCGTGGGGTTGAGGAAATTATGTGCTGATTGTTAATAGCTAGGTTTATTCAGCACACTCTTTTATTCCAATGATAAAGAATGGTGAGATTATTTGCAGAAACTGAAGGCACGCAGGATCAACATTTCTAAAAAGCTATTTCTGAACTAAAAAAAAGATAAAATACACCAGTAAGCTGTGCAAAGTAACAAAATATAAAGTGCCTTTGTAATCATCTTCACTAACACAATCTCTGCCTGCTCCCATTCCTAATAATCTTTCAATCAAAAGCTCAAGAGGATTTCAGGTGTTTGCAAAGATGACTTCAGTCAGAGCAGAACACCAGCACTGGTGCAGAACTGATCTGCTACCAACTCTATGTAAGCTCATAGTAGTAGAACAGATGTGCTTGGAGAAGTGTGGTACATGAAAATAAAGATAAATTCTGCTTTTTCTAGAAATGCTTTCAAGTCACTGTAAGGTAAAAGTTTTTCAACACAGATGTAGATCCTTACGCATAAGGGAAAACCAGAACTATGGAAATCACTGAGGTACAAAATAATTGCTACCATGGTAATAAGAATTAAAATGTAATACCAGAAATTAGACCAAAAAGGAGGCTAGTGAAGAAACAGGCAAGGAAAAAAATAAATCACTCTGTCTCAGCAACAAAATTCAAAATAGTGCAGTAAACAGATGCCTCTTGAACTTCATTCCACATCTGTAACAAATAATTTTACCCCTTCCCTACGAAACAGCAAGTTTAAATTAATAGGTAACAGAGACTTCAAATTACAGCATTGATGACTTAGAAGTTTACACTGATATGGAACATACTATTTCCACAGCAGCAGAGCTCCTCAGAACATGGGCACGCGCAAGCGTTCTTGTAGGACAAGTGTAAACTCCACTTAACTAAGCATCTCAATTGCCATTTCTTTCCCTAGGTCTCAACAGTTAGGAATACAACACGAGAGCAAAAACACGGATATGAAATGAGAAAGTGGAAGCACAGCTCTGTGTAGTAAATCACTGATAATTATTTTAGGACTTTCTCTGGGACCAGAGAGCACTTCCAAGAAAATCCAGTCACACTGTACATCAGTCACACTGCATTTTATTACTTTAAACTGATTAAGACAGCATCATTCCACACTCAATCGTCAACGGTCAAAAGGGAGTGTTTTCAATAACCCCTGCACCACTGTGACTGAAAGGGGTCTATGATGGAAAAGAGGCTCCTGCACAAGCTTCAAAACAAACACCAATTGTGGCACAGCTTCAATACCTCTTGATCCACTAGTGTGTAACTGCAAAAGAGATCACCCAGCATCTCTACCATGAGTTACAGAACAGCACAACAAATCTTTAGATTTGGATTCAGTGCATTTGATGAGACTGAAGACTCAGGTAACTGTATTTCTGACAAGCAGATTTATTCATGTTAAGCCACAGGTAACTAATTTATCAAGTACTAGCTTTTTGTATCAAAGCAGGAGAAAAAAGAAAATGCTCTGATGAATTCTAAAGTTAAGCACTGTCACGCAACACACAAGGTTTGCCAGTAGACAGAAAATACACTGAAGTCAAAATACTACTAAATGCTAATAAGAAAGGAGACTCAGGTTGACTCGGGTTTTAATAGAGTTAAGCTGCAGAAGGGATGGAAAACTAGATTGGATCAAAACTGCATTTTATCACAAGAGTATTTTCCAGTTTTCTTGCAGTATTTATGTGAGCCTTTTCAACATGGAGAAAGGATTGTATTCTTAGAAGCAGGGTAGGAGAGCTATCAGTCACTCAACATAACAGATTAGCTTGCATGCTTCAGGATGAAATATCATCCCAGTCGTGGTACTTCAGAGAACCTTCTTATCTTCAGAGCTTTAAAGGAACTTCAGCCACTGCTGTTAGTTTAGCTTCTTTGGAGTACATGGTACATATTTTTTCTTACAGTTGCAGTTATTGAAGACATGACAGGACAATAGCATCTCTTCATTCAAAAGCAAGCTGAACACACTAAAAAATATTCTTTATTCCTTTAATTAAGTTATACTTTGACCTAAACAAGATCATTTCTAAATTGACAATATATCTTGTTCATTATTTTCATTGAGCTTACCTACCCACTCTTCTTTTGACAGATACGTCAACCATTTACCCAGGAGATGATACCCCAAAGTACACTAGATTGTATTCTGACACGATTAAAAAAATCCCAAACTACTGCCTTTAAAAGCACAGGCTGCATCCTGCAGCACTGAACAAAATGCCACAACATTTGAACTGTGGATGACTGCATAGATACAACAGAACCTAGACATTCATGCACGATACAGGTCCCACACTTAAATTCATGGTGTCATAACACCAATAACTTACTATGCAATGATGAGTCAAAAGGACTTCAAGTTCACGTACTAAGTACTGTGCTCTGCTACAGAGCTGTACCAGATTTCAAAATTTAATAAAATAAAGCGTGGTGTTGAAATAATTCACAAGACCCCAAACCAGAATTAATTCCACTTCAATATGTATTAAACTCAATTTGAGGATTTACCAACTGGAAGAGAATCTAAAATAGTCTCCAGTCTGATTTATGAACACCTATCTTCAAACTTTAGAACACAAGTACAAACTTATTCTATTTATTTGTAATTCCAGAAACAAAGGCAGTGACACATACTTAATTGTTAATATCAGGAAAAAACCTTCTAATATGAAAATAGCCTGCTAGCTGGATGTACTAAAACACAGAGTCCAAACAACTTTGTTACTTCAGCAACTCCCAAGCTCTTCTGTTACAGCTGAAATATATCAACTTTTTAAATACCTTTGCTGAACTACAAACTTAAGAACCAGGAAAATAGCTGTTGAGAAAAGTGTTAACAGAACAGCTGTTAATATATTCTATGCAGTAATAAAAAGCACAGCAGGAACCCTACCAAGTAGATGTTCTATGCAACGTGAATGAGGCTAAATGGCACAGCTTAGAAGCAAAACACACCTATAGTGTGCTGAAGTCAATATTAGATACTCAAATTTTCATGGTACCAACTGGAAGCTACTGCTGAAGTTTCCTAAAATGTTTTAGAAGTTACAAATCTGTTGGAGACTTAAATGAGTATTTCATGTAGCAAAACAATACCTGAGCCATCTCAACCAAGAATTCTTCCACATGAAGAAAAAAACACACTAATCTCTGGTACAGGACAGAACATTATCAAGCTATCTATATTGAGGTCCAATCTAACAAGAAAAGCTGGGAACAAACGAGTGGTAAATAATACCAGAACTCGAGTGCCACGTTTCACAGCCTGCACTGAAGAGTACACAACAAAAGATTCAACACAGTAGCATACATAGCCTGCAGAAGCCACATTCAATTTAAATATCTGAAACTCAGTCACGACAGTATTACAGAGAATGGAACAGACAGCTGTAACATTCACCACTGCAACTTTACCTAAAGCACTCTCACATTCCCACAGGATGTCACTAGCTGGAGTGGAAAGCTCTGCAATTCTCATAAATTTACTATTCTCATTTTACTAAAACATTGAGAAACTGAAATAACGTAACATAGTTGTCACAGAATATTACATTACCACTATTTCAAGACACCAACTGCAGAACCTTAAGCCTACAGTAGTGACAAAATAAAAAGGAACAATACCTCATTTCCAATGATGATTAAAAATGAGAAGCATAATGCTAAAACTAATGGCATAACTTCGTGAAGTATATTATTATATCCCAATACAACGTATCACACAGACAAGCAAGAATTGGATCCCAATACCACAAAGACCCTCAACAAGTAACACGCAAATCTCACAAGATACTTGGCTTTACTGATGGGGAAGAATTGCTTGTTTTTGCTTTGAACTTAAAAAAAGCAAAACTTAAGACTCAAGAGCTGAAGGCCTACACACACAAGCTGGGATAAAAATAAAGATGTTAGCACTCCTTTTATTCAGGCAAACAACCCTGCTACAGTTAAGTGTGCCAGGCCACAAAGAAGCCCCTTCTGTTAGGAAAGGAAATAACCACAGTGGAAGAATCACTTTAAAACTATATCCTCTATACATAAGGAATAATAAGAATATTGTTTCTTACAAGTAAGAACATATGTTAATTTCCTTTTATTGATATAAGCCAATTACTATTTGCATTAGTGAAACTAAGACCAAAATAAGCATACTCCAGATGAACATGTTAGAGCATAGCTGCTTGACAGTAGGAATTGTTTTTGTTTGCTTAAGTGGGACCAAGAAGGGAAGAAAATCTGCTTGGTTTTTAACAAAGCTTCTTTCAACATCTAGTTCAACATGCGACTCAACCTCAGCAACATCCATTTAACAAAAGCAAGCTAACTAAAAACTGGTGAAGCAGCAGCTTCCTCTTCCCTTACCAGTAAAATAAGCCACATTATCACCTGATAAACTAGGATTCTGTAGAGTTTACATCAGCCACACCAATGAAAGAATACAACATTTCAGAAGAACAAAAGACACTCTTTAAAAGAGTCTCAAAATGTAAACTACTGAAGACTTCACGTTAAACATTTACCTTTGTCACTTACATTTTGATCAAAACAATCTCTTACATAGCAGCCCAAAATTCAAGACTTAAGGCTTGAAAACTTTTAAGTATGAATGCACAGTGAAGAAAGACATTTACGACAAAGGAAACACTACTAGGAGATTCCCCACATCTACACACTGCCAACTGAGAAAACTTCTATCCCAGCAGATTCCCCTTCAAAATAAGCATGCAGCTCTTCTTCCAAACTCTGATTTCAGGTACATGACTAATAACAAGATGTTCATGATCTAGAAGCTCTGGTTTATGGACTGTCAGATAGAAACAACTGCATTAATTCTAACACGTATAAGGGATATGAGAATTCAACCAACTAAAGGAGTGCTTTTTTACTGAGGGAATTACCTGATATAGTCACCAAGCCAGTCTCAATGATATCTGAAAAGTCATGGCAATCAGGTGAAGCCTGGTAACTGGAGAAAAAGAAACATCACACCCATTTCTAAGAAGGGTATAAAGGATGACCTCTGTCAGTCTCACCTCTGTACCAGGAGAGATCATGGAACACATCTTGAAAGCTACGCTAAGGCACATGGATGACAGGAAGGTAATATGAGAGAACCAACATGGCTTCAGCAAGGGCAAATCCTGCTTCACTAACCTAGTGCCATTTATGATGGTGTCACTGCATCAACAGACGAAGGAAGAGCCATTGACATTATCTATCTGGACTTCAGTAAGGCCTTTGACACAGTACCACACAACACCCTTCTCTCCACATTGGAAAGATACAGATTAGATGGGTAGACTGTTCAACAGTCTACAAACTGGCTGCAGGACTCAGTCTGGAGAGTGGTGTTCAGCGGCTCAGTGTCTGGATGGAGATCAGTGACAAGTGGTCACTGGGGTCAGTGCTGGGACTGATACTCGTCAGTACCTCGCTGTCAGTGTCACTGATGAAGATGAGAGCACACTCAGCTAGTTTGCTGATGACATCAAGCTGTAGGTGCAGTCCACACCCAAGGGACAAGACACATCCAGAGAGACCTAAACAGGCTAGAGCAGTGGGTGCATGCGAACCTCATGAGGTTCAACAAAGCCAAGTGCAAGGTTTCTCACCCGGGTTGCGGCAACCCTCACTACCAATACAAGCTGCAGGATGAAAGGACGGTGTGCACTCCTGCCAAAAAATACCCAAGGGTACTGGTGGATGACAAGCTGGACATGAGTCAGCAATCTATCCTCACTCAGAAACCCAACCGTATCCTGAGCTGCATCAAAAGCAGTGCCAAAAAGAGGTGATCCTAACCCTTTGTTCTGCACTGGTGAGGCCTCACCTGGAGTACCGCATCCAGATGTGGAATCCTCAGTACAGAAGAGGCACAGACTTGTTGGAGTACATCCAGAGGAGGGCCACAAAAATGATCAAAGGGATGGTACACCTCTCCTATAAGAACAGGCTGAGAGCTAAAGTTGTTCAGCCTGGAGAAGAGAAGGCTGTAAGGCAACCTGATAGAGGTGTTCCAATATCAAAAGGGGAGCTACGGGAAAGAAAGGGACAGACTCTTTAGCAGAGTCTGTGCTGACAGAACAAGGGGAAATGGCTTCAAGCTTAAAGAGGGTAAATTTAGGTTGGATAAGGAAAAAGTCTTTTACAGTGGGAGTGCTGAGGCACTGGAACAGGCTGCCTAGAGATGTGGTGGATGCTCCATCCCTGGACACTTTCAAGGTGAGGTTGGATCAGGCCCTGGGCAACCTCACATAGCTGTGCATGTCCCTTTCATTGCAGGGCAGTTGAACAAGATAACCTTTAAAGGTCCCTTCCAACATTTTGTTTCTTTGTTTAAATTCATGGAAAGGAACAAGTAACCCAATTTGGCTGTATGCCTTTAGGGATGATAGAAAAGCTTATTCAAAGCACTCAAACTGGATAAGTAAATCTACAGAATGGGATGACAAAAATGGTGCCGACTTTATAAAAACACTTAAAAGAGATGAGAGAAAGCAAGTCTTCCATTCCCAAGTGACAAAATACCATGAAATAAATTAAAACAATTGTAATACCTTGGCCTTGCCACACTTTTGACGGTATTACTAAAACTTTGTCACATGCAGCAGAAGGTTGCATCCATTTCCAAACCAAGAACTCAGCACCACCTATTCTTCGTGTCTCTGTGCGAACTCTAGGTTCATTTGCCGCTAGGAAGTCAACTGCTCTACTCCAGACTTTCCTCATTTTCCTCCTTAAAAAAAAAAAGAATTACAACGTTAGCATTATAATAACCTGCACAGCTGACATCAATCACAGGAGTAAATCATAGGAGGAATTCATGTTCATTTTTTTTCCCTACTTTCATTGATAAGAATCTCCAAGAATATTATTGTATGTAATCTACTGCTATTTAACTACAGCAACCAATTTATAATTATTGAGTCACATGCTTTATTCCATGTAACAAAATGAAGTACATACAGTGAGTACATACCTGTCCTGAGCTGGTATTAGAGAATCATGCACATGTAAAATAGGCATATAAGGCTGCAAGTCTTTATTTTCAGAACATGCCTCACTGTGACTTCTTAGAACATCTAGAACAGCATTAAAAAAAAAAAAAAAAAAAAAAGAGGGTAATCATCTAGTACACATAAACATGAAGAAAAATATCAATTCTGGCTATGAACAGCTAGTCTGAAATCCCTTTGTAATTCCAGGAATTTGAAAAAGTTTTCAGGTTTTGGAGTTTTGAGCATTTTTAATCCTAATCTGGCTGAAAGGCAAATCAAGAAAACTAATTGTGTGCACAGTACCTCCAAGCACCCCAAAGAACTCTGGAATAAGGGAGAAAGAGTTCTCACCTGACTGCTACTTTTAATTGTTAGCAAAGATGGCCACATTTGGAAATAAAAGTGCTTTCCCCCTACAACAAGGGCAGAAATGGTAGCTAACATTTAGGTATTTTGGATAAAGATAGCTGAAAAAACAAATATGCAGAAAGCAATATCACCATATATCCAGTAAATAAACATCATTATTTATACTGTTTACCAATGTAGATAAAATACTTCTTTGTCAATAGAAATTCATTACAGCCATGATGATGAACTACTTAAATTCAAAGCTCCTTAACAAAAACTTAAAGTTTGAAGTGTAATTAAAAAAAAAAAATACAAGCAAAAAAACCCAAACCACAAAGCAGGCCTTTTTCAGAAGACTGTAACAGCATGACAGTAACTAAACAGAAAGAAAACATAATTGAATGAAGTAAGGCCAGTAGTTTGAAAGCTTGTGCACAGGTGTACATATATATCAGATATGAAATTCAAGAAAACGTACCTATGATTTTTACCACCATATCATACATCTGCCTCGTTTCCTCCTCTTCTTTTGCCCAACGGTATTTCATGTAGTGCAAGACTCCCCAAACAACCGCTACGCCTGCATCAAGATGTTTAAATACTCTTTAAACAGTATTAGAAAATTAGTTACTTAACATGACACATTATATTTAAGAAGTTGCTTGAATTACCTAACATTTTATATTCACATTTCAAAGCTAGTGAAGTACACTGCCCTTGCTGCCCATATTTTTTATATTTTATTAACACAGCAACAGTAACTCTCAAGCTTTGAGCAGTAGATTCTTTTGAGAAAATGGTTTATTGTCTAAATAATGGCCTGGTGCCCAACTACCCCTATTGACATTTGAAATTTAAATTTAATTTGTGAGGACAAACAGTAAAATAATTATCTTGGAAAAATTTGAAGTCATAAAAGTTAAACTCAGTACAGAACTCGTTACGATGTTAAAACGCACAATATTCACTAATTTAAGGATAAGTCACAGACTTTAGATATACGGGTGAAAACTAACCAACTTGAACAGCAAGAGGTCAGTATTTCTTGTCATGATGTACAATGTACAACATGTTATTTTTATATTACCTTCTAGATGCCAAAAAAGACAACCTAGTTAAGGCGGCCAACCATGTAGGCAGAGAACAAAAGTCTTATTTCTTCCATCTCAGACTGAGGGCACCACTACACCTACGGTCTCTTAACATGAAGAAGAACAACACACATACAAACTATAGTCATGAAGCTGGCCTTCAGGCACCAGTGATCACAAAGCAATGTTAACTGACAGAAAAAGTGACTGAGGAACACCATCACCTTAAGTCAAAACAGGTATTAATGACAACATATCCAACGTGATGGTTAATTTCTGAAAAGGTACTTCATGTTAATCTCAAATGTAGATGAGTTGTAACACTGCATGCGTGTTGGCCCTGAATGTGGCAGGGGTGTTGGAGATGCATGATCCTTGAGGTCCCTTCCAATCCTGGCCATTCCGTGATTCTGTGATACTAAGCAAGCTGCTCAGCATGACTGATGAGACCTGCTGTTGACCTGCACACCGAGTTTTGCCTCTATCTTCCAATCCAACCCTCATATTCATTATCAGAAAGACAGCCATCCGGGACAGCTTGCCTTGTAGTTTCTCAGAAGGCTAGTGAAGGACATTAAAAAAAAACTACTACAAAATTGTTAAGAATCTATGATATGATTCTATGATAAATGACCTCCTGAATATTTAACACGTGCATGAGATGAGTCGTACATCTTCAGTTCTTTCCATGTGCCTGGTTAGAAATACTGAAACGTCTACACTCAGTTGGTCCTTCTTATTATTTTGCCCCACTTTCAGTATGGATAAAAGTTACCTCAACTTGAGAGTACATGAAACTTAACTAGAAAACTATCACATTAAGTCTCACTGAAAAACTGCATACCTTTTCTATAACAGACTTATAAGTAAGAATATTTGGTAACAACCAGGTAATTAAACTGATAGAAATGGAAATGTAACTACAGAAAAGATGATTTTCTCTAGTTCCTAGAATAACAGTGAAATAGTCTGAAAATAAAGACCAACACATCTTTTTTCTCAAATACATCCAAATTTGCAATTTTTTTTTTTTTTTGAAACACACAAAGCATTGTTTTGGCATGGAAAAAGCCAAAGTTTGCAGAGGAGGGATCAGTATAGCTGACTACAGCAACAGATGATAGCAAATATTGCAAAAATACATGCGTGGTTCAAAAGTGTAAAGCAGACTATGTTGTAACTTACTGAAATTCTAGGTTGTATGGCTGAATAAACACTTAGAGAGCTGCTTTCTTATTTTTATCAAGTACATAGGGAAAAGTTATAATTAAAAAAACCATTTTTGACAACTTACCTAAAAGCGGTATTGATAATCTATGAGTTACGCTAATGAACGCACGGCGAAAACGACACCTGAAAGACATCTTTGGACTGGTGGATTCCAGGTACTTCACGTCCGTCACGTTAGTGACATCCACGTCATTAGGGTCACTGCCAAGACACCTATTAAAACAGATTGCACATTTACAAAAAAGAATACATTCCATCAGAACACACTGCTATGAAATAAAGCTCACTTACTTTATGCCAACATCTTCCCCACTATTCAATATCCACTGTAGTGCTGTATTAAATACACTTTCATATTCTGGATCTATATTCTGTCAAAAGACAAATATGAATGAGAAACTTTCTAAATAACCAGAAGGCTACCGTGCCACAGTAAGATACAAACATTCTGTAAAAGATTAGGCAATTTGCAACAGCAGTCAAATCTTAATCCTGAATTTTCAGGTTTTGCACAGCTTCTCATATTGGCAAAGTGATTTTGTACATGCTGTCAGCAGCTACAGCACTTGCTGATATTCCTCAAACAAAGAATTACACAAAAAGTCATGTCACCATCACCATTTATTAACAATTCTGACCTACATGGTAAAATAAATTCAGCCACTAGGTGGTGCTCATTGAAAATCTATTCCAGAAATAAAAGTAGTTACAAACCCAGCTGAAAATTGGTCCTATAAAAAGCAGCTGAGGTATTTTTTGTTTTGTTTAAGTCATTTTCCTCAAGCATCTTAGTTGATATTCTGCAAATAATCTGGTGTTTGTAGTTCAGGAACAATAAAAGGATGTAAATTCCCATGTAGTTAAGTTAGTTGATATCAGTTATTGTAGGAGGATATATACTGCAATTTGAGCAAAAACAAGTGTCCACAGTTCACCTTACAAGTCCTTTGCAGAAAAAGAAAAGCAAAACAATGGAAGTTCATACTCTATTTGAACTGAAACTGTCCAAAACAATTTTATCTCCACCTTCTCTTTGAGTCTTACATCAAAAGAGAAGCCCCTAAGGAAAGAAAGAGTAACAGCAGCTATTTTCACTTCGAGAATAAAAGAAGTTTACCATCAAACACTGAAATTCAGCAAAGGAATCACATCTATAATCACAAAATGAGGCAATGTGGAGTTAAATAAAGTTTGTATGAAAATCTGTCAGCACAAAACTTTGTGCTTAGAGCTAGAACAGCTGTTACAATAACCATCATTCTTTTGATGTAATAGAAATGCTAGTCCATTTATCATCTATCACCAGTTCCTTTCCCCTGCTGCTTTTTCCTATTTGCCGTTCCCCTCCTCCAGAATCTCCCTACCTCCTCAAATACAAATCATGAGCAGCATGCATTAAAGATGTTGATTCTAAACATTTCCAATTAACATCCTATCCTAATTCAAATGTTAGTCACTAAAATGAAACCACATGAAAACAAAAATAAGACCTTAAAATCTTTGCTTACACAGACCTCAAGTAAGAACCCACGAATAATAGCAGAATTACTTACTTTCAAATACGCAGCTGCCTCCTGGACGGTAAGGTTTCTTTGAACAGAGCTGCCACATTCATGTTTCCCTGGTAAAATTAAATTTGTTTATTTTGATCATACATATTACTAATCGTATAAAATAAAATCACCAAAACACAATCATATAGTTCATGTAATCTACACAAGCAGGAGTAGCCAAATAATTATCTTTAAAAAAGTCAGGATGAAATATTAAAAAAAAAAAAAAAAAAGACTTTCACAGCTAATAATATGTAGAAATAACAGCAATACAACTTCATGTGATGATCAGAAAACATACTTCAATATTTATACTAAAAAAGTTAGGATAAAGATCAACCAGAAGAACATTGCCATGAAAGAGTTGCTACACCCTGACCCAACATCTCCCAGATAATTTATTTCCTCTAAAACAGGTGTAAGCTTTTATAGAGAGCATGCTAGTTCTAGTTCTATTGTATCCACAGCAGTACTTCTGCCACTATGAGGCTACCACATTATAGCTTGCTCCAAGTTACTGCAGTACTTCCTTCCCTTCCTGCAGGCATACAACACAGCAATCTGCCCCCAAACTGCTGGTTTTACCATCTTCCTAATTCTTTCAGAAATAATGCAGAAGCAGCCAGGAAAAAAGGCACGGTCAGCTCACTGCCACATACCATCTTCTTTCTCATTTACTTTTGCTAAACTGAAAGAACTCTATTTATGTTGAAATAGATTTAGTGACAGTCATGCTAACACAAAGTCTTATGCAAAAGCAAAACGTCCAACATCAGTTTTATCCACCGTTAGGCTATTATTCCTGAAGAACTGGAAGAGAATAACAAATCATTTCTTTCTGGATCCTTCTGAAAAAAAATGAAAATTAAAAAAAAAAAAAACAAAAACCCACCACCTTGGTACCTGTATCTGCACCAAAACAGCAACAAAAAAAAAAAAAAGGAAGAATAAATCCAGTCTATCACTAACTCAAGGTGAGCCTTACTCTCCTGCACCCACACCCGTTAATAATTCCCAAAGCAACTGCAAAGCTAGGGAAGTTTATATTTTATATACGTGTCAGATTCTTAAGCTTCTGTTTAAGTCTCACCAATTATTTCAAGATGAAACTGCTCCATACTGGGCTACCTTTTAAAGGTAGCAAATGCTAGTATTAACTACCTAGATTCAGGGTAAAATGAGCAAACACTACCACCAGTTATGGGAAATCTTCATGCCTGGCTCACAGGAGGGAGTTCCAAAGAAATAAATGTTTTTAAGAAGCAGAAGTCCTTTGCAGACTGTTTTGTTTAATATACTTCTGATATGATAGTAGTTTAAAAGTTGCTTCACTTGGTAATTAGCACACATCTTAGATTTAGTCAAAGCTCATTAGATCTGATACGATAGCAAAACTAAAGGTCACTAATGAAAAATGATAGCATTCTTGCCAAAAAAGAAGTCAGCACAAGAACTGGAGCTGTAAATTATTCTAGCTTATATTTAGGCAGACATTCTTCTTGTTCTGCATAAACTCTACTACCTGCAACGTACATTTACAGGCACCGGTGATTTCATGTTTCAAGAATGGCAGACTTGGGAGAACTATGTATCATATTCAGTCTCAACCACAAACATTGTTTAAAACTTAGAATTTTTAGTAAAAAAAAAAATATCCCAATTGCCTACCTACAATCTCAGCCAGGTATTAGCTTACATAGTATTAACATGACTACTAACACTACACACAAAAAAAAACCTGAATGAGTAAGACCTGAAGTTTTGAAGCATGTGAGTCACCATTTGAACAGAACAACTTAAGGAGCAAGGGGATGAAACTTCTGCTCAATGGCTTGGGGGTTTGTGTTTTAAATAGTAAGAAATAGTAAAAGAATGCAGTTAACAAACACAGAAAAAAACAGCAGCACAAAACAATCAGATGTGAAGACAGTGAAAAACGCATTCCTAAAACAAGCCAGAGGATTTTAGATTTTTACTCTTAGAAGAGCACAGCACTACAACTGACATGAGGACAAAAGCTCCTTTAGAAGCAGACTTCTAGCAGTTGTAAAATAATCTTATTTGCCTCCTTTCAGGAACCACATTTGCACAGTATGCAGCCAACATGTCAACTTCACAGCTTCTTGCCTCATTTTTAAAAAGCCAGCAATCAAATTCTTCACTGCACTTTTCCTGACTTTTTTTTTTTTCCTAACTGAGCAAATTTACCTCTTAAAAATGCTTTTGATGCTCAGGCACTGACAATATTTAAGGCCCATCAGTATAAATTACTCTCATGCAATCCCAGAAGAGAATAAATAAAAACCAATTCCACCTTGCCTCCCACTCCTGAAATCAGTAAGCTAATCACTCATGTAGTTTCAGCCCCATGCAAAAAGCTGCTAGAACTGCAGCTATTCAATCCTATTCATCTGTTGCTGAGAACTGGAAAGCTTGCAGAAAGTTGGAAAATTCGCAAGGCAGGTGGATGTCCATGCTACTGAAAGCAGCAAGATATTCCTATGTGCCACTTTAGCCACTCTTTTAGCTAGTGGTTCTGCAAATGAAGGCTTACATTGAGTTACTTTGGTGTAATTATTAACCACTTGGCTTGGAAACTCAGTCTGATGCTCAGAGAAGTGAGTTATCAAAGAAAAGTAAGAGCAGAACAAACATTGTGAAAGCAAGTACAAATGACTGATCTCCCATAGGCAAATTCAACATCAAATTCTTACAATGTGGAAAACCAGAAATTGTTATACGGGTTTTAAAAATCAGGCTAAAAAAGAAAAATCAAATATCTGAAGAACTAAAGGTTAAGGTGTGTGGCAGAACAGGAGCTGCCAGATACAGTAGCTAACGCTTTAAATTAATGTTAAGGAACAGCCAGTGCTTTGCCAGGCCTTTCTGCCAGCCTTGGATTTACCAGCAGGTCTGATTCCATACGGAAGTCCAATTCACCTCACATCTCAAGGACCTGTACTGTCCTTTAGTGCAGAAGGAAACCATTCAAGTCTCACAGACCCCTCTATGGAGAATGCCAAGCCAAAGATGCTTCTTACTAAGTAAAAATCTTTGGAGGATGGTGATTAGGTTTATTCACTTTGTAAACCTAAGAATGGAGCTATCTACTGAAGACTCCCCACAAAAGACAGACATCCAGTAATAAATACATACATGCCAGAAGGAAGCCTGATTTAAATAAAACAGATTTTGTTTTAAAATAAAGTGTTAGGCACTGAACTATACAGTATCTACAAACCTTGCTGCATTTAACAAAGGCAGAATGAAAAGACACAAACAAGAATATAAAATTCAACCCAGAACTGAATGAGTAGATTCTGCTTTTCCCTCTGGTTTCTTTTGAGGTAGGCATTACTCACCACAGATTTAGTAGACTAATAATTCTGAGAACTGTGATGCATTAAAAGGCAATCTATTTTTACAGAGGATAATTAAATTATTTTACATAATATCAGAGCACCACAGAATAGAATAGGCATCTATAATTGGAACACAATATATGGAGTCAAATAAAAATAATGAAGCATTACAGTGACTCTTTGTTACTTAAAAAAAACTTCCAATGCATCATCTTTTATATTTAAAGCCCCATCATTTGCTCTCCAATTAAAGTTGACAAAGCAGAAAACACTAGCTCAATAAAAATACAATAAGTTCAATTAAACAGAAGGCTAGAAACTGAATTCTGAAGTGATCATCTCCACTGCAATTAGAACACTGAATAAAGCTTAACAGAAGACACTAGTGCAAGTTTCCATCTTGCCTTTTTAATATTAACAGTAATAACATGAGCAAATGATTCATAGCCAAGCATGAAATGAGAGAAATTTTTCCAAGTATGTGACAGGCCTGAAGAGAATCGTTTTTTACTAAAACTATCTTCCATTACTTCTCTCTTTTGAGATGCTGCGTTATGTATAAGATTAACATTCTTAAACCCTGCATCTCTCAAGCAACCTCCTGTGTCATACAACTTTTAAACAGTTTCCACCTATTTTGCCAGGCTGACATCACTGCAGGACTGAAAAAGTGGAGGACAGACCTCTACCTCTCATACCCTGAAGACAGCTGGCACTGAGGATAACTTCTGAGTATCAGTGAAATAAGTCATTCTTCAGACTGCATGCAAGCTATTTTGCTGAGCAACAAGGCAATCTTGCAATGTGGCTTCAATTTGAGGATATTTTTTGCAAGTAAGCACTGAAGATTCTCCTGGCCAGAAATAGACTAACAGAGACTGACACATCCTTGACATCTAAGGAAGAAAGCAGCAGGTCATCTTGGAACATATATTTTCCTCTTGTAAGGAAGACTGCTAAATGTATTCTTTTAAGTGTTCATCACATATGAAAACCGCAATTAATGAAGAAAATTCACGTTCCTTCACAGATGCAGAAATGAAGCACCAAGCATTTTTATCCATGCAAATAAATCATCTACCATACAGCCACTGGAGGGCCAGATAACACTGAGGAAAGGGCAAGCTGCTAGGCTATTTCTCTTCCTCTTTTGAAAAAAGAATATAATTCATTACTTCCATTTCACACCACTCAGCGCTTTGCTGCACACAGCTGTAGATCTCGAAAGACACTCCTGCACAGCACAGGTTAGCTACCTTGCATGAAAGAAATCTTTCTGTCTCAATGATTGATAGCACAGAATTACCCACTATCATCTATTCAGCATGAAATAGTCTGAAACGGATAAAAATATCAAGACATAACTGAACCAAATTCAACCTGCAAAACATTCACAATCAGAATGCAATAAATTTAAAACTAAGAAAAAAAAAATACTATCTTGAACACATTCAGGTTAAACATTCGTTCACTAGCTTGAGTTAAAACACACTGTAAACAGGGAAAAATTTTGTGGGGTTTGTCCAAACATTGCTTTTATTCACTGTAGATATTGTAAATATTCTGAAAACAAAAGCTTCTGCAAGAAGGTCACTCTTGCAATTTAAAGGTATTATAGAGCTGCTCAGATTTCTCACACATTTCCTCTATGGTCCCAGACATAAACTGTCAGTCTCACAGCTGTTGCCACATTTTCACCCTTTGAGAAACACCTGCATTATCTGGCAATAGCGAGTCTGTATACAGAGAAAACAAACACACTGAGAAGCCTTCTCAGTGGTACCTGCTGTTGCAAAACAAATAGTTGTCACAAAGAAGTTACGAGAAAAAAACTGAACCATTGCTTGTAAATACTAAACAAATGGTAATCACAGAGTAGTTTCTGCTGTAAATCATACTAGATGTCAAAGTTATACAATAGTCTTAAATCCTACCACTTCCCAATTATGATGTGTAAATATCTACACAATTTAAAGCTGTCTTAATTGTGAAAGCACAGTGGTTTTATTTTGAATATTCAGTAATTCTAAACATCACCTCTTACACAATACCATACATACTAATGAAATGTTCTATGTAATTAGTTTAAAGTTAGACTAATTTGTCTAAACAAGGCCATCTTGTTTAACCTCTAAACATTCTTGCTTGATGTGAAATAAAGCTGTAAGCATTTTTCCAGAGTGAAAAAACCACCTTTCCCTCAGCACACACAGCATATTTAAACCCTGTAATATCAAAATCAAAAATATAATCAAAAATCTTGAGATAAAAATATTCAGTCTTCCATGTTAACTCAAAAAAGTTGCAACGAAAGATGCTACGCTGGTGGAAAAGGCAGTGTGCATGATCTAGAAACAGGACTTCTGGTTTCCCAAAGCGGAGCTCTAAAGATAATCAGGGCCTCAGAATGCACCAGTTGCTGCAAATCACTGTCTGAGCACAGACATCTCAGTAGCTGTTACAATAATACTCTTAGTCACAATATTTTTGAAGTGTTACCTGCTACTTGTGCCAATTTATCATGAAGTGCATATAAGCTGTTCATCATGAGACTTATTTCAGCTTCCTAGAATTACAAAAAAGAAACCATTGCATTAATATTAAAACATTATTAGCATGAAATTTTCTTACACTTAATCCAAAAATGTTATACATCATCAGAAGAAAGAATTTTGTTTTAAACACATGTACAGGTAGAAGACTATAATAACATCTCACACATCAACAAAACTTAAGTTAGAGATTTTGAAAAAAGTATTCACAATACTAATTTTTCAGATCTTGAGTGAAACTGAACTAGGTTGCTGCCTGGAATCTGTTTGCTCAGCCAATTAAAACAGACAGCTCAGAAGGTTATTTTAATAGTGTCGAGAGAAAAGTGCAGTGACCTACTGCAGGAAACCTGCTTTAGCAGGGAGTTGGACTAGACGATCTCCAGAGTCACTTCCAAACCCTACCGTTCTGTGACCCAAAAGAAGCCAGGTGGGTCTTTTTTGAAAGCTACTACGTAAAAATAAAAGTGAGCTTTATTCTTAAGTGTGGGTGGTGACACCACACATGGACAATACTGGAGTATCATATGGCCGTATTCCCCATGTAAGACTCACAGACAACAAAAATCTGATTTTGCTGTCTCCAAACTACTGTAATTTTTTAAGAAAAGCCATAATTCACATCATCTTTTTAGGGTTTCCTGCATAGGCTACTTGTATAAGGCCTATTTACCAATATATAAACATGAACACCATAGCAGAGTTACTTTACGACAGATTTAAACTTCTTTAACAAGACATTGAGCCACTTCATTGAAATTCATTCGGAAACCTTTTATACTGGAATAAGTTACTCAAAATATGAAGACAAGGAACAAGATAATTATTTACACTTGAGTACCCTGAAGGCCACTGCAAAAAGTTGTGGGTTGCTGTTTTGAAGCTGGCTCTGATTTCCAGGCAGAGCAAAATGGTTGAGATAAGACAAGAACCTTCATTCAGAAAATGTGCAAAAGAAAGTTTTCCAGTCTGTTCACCTTCCGGTTTTACTTGCATTGAAAAAAAAAAAAAAAAAACAAAAAAAACCAACAACACGTATTTTTAGCATAATTCCCTGCTGCATGAGTGCAGTCTGACAACATTTTAAAGACTGAATAGCTCCAATTATTTTCCGTAAGAAAACTGCTACCAAAAGGGAGAACACTTTTCATTGATCAAAAATTTGACAGATTAATTCCCCACAGACAACAGTAGAAACTGCCTCTTGTACTCTGGTTCTACAAATCCACCACAGTATTACAGTTGGTACTACCCAGGAAGTTAACCAACCTCGTTAACCCATTTCCTGAATGGAAAATATCAGCCCTTTAACACAAACAGCAGTGCTCTAAGTTCAGCTTATTTGCCTGTCAGTACCTCAGAAAATTCACAAAATTTAATTTGTTCAGAAGATTCAGTAAAAGTTTCTTCACAAAAACTAGATATTCAATGAAAATATGCAACAACTCAATTGCAGAGCTCAACACTAGATCCCCCAAAAGTTACCTTGTGAAACTTTCACGTACATGCCAATTAAAAGCAGATCGCTGTTTGCAAGCCAGCCAAAAAGACTGAAGGCCCCCAGAGAGAAACACTAAAATGCAAGTTGCAGAACTGAGACTAACTACCTTCCATGGATCTCAAAATAGGTTATCCTGATATTTCAGTTGAGAGAGCAAATAGAGCAACTAGCAACAGCATCGATTCAAAGTGAAAGAGACAAGTTTTCAAATACATTTTCTGAAGACAACTAACCCTTGGCTCTTCTGCAGTACTACGTAAGACCATAAAGTCTCACGACAACCATCTCATCAGTTGTCCTTTCACAGTTGAGAAACAAATGGTAGAAGGAAAACCGATCAACTTAGCATCAAGAAGATCTTAGAATATTTTTTTCTCATACATATACAACACAAATTAGGTATCATTTTCTCATTATATAAGGCAACAAGCATGAGATAGCCAAGTCCTGTAATCCTATTTTCATCCCGAAATCAAAACCAAAAACTTAAAATATTCAAGTAACAGAAATGAACTAATCTCATATGAAACATTCAGAAACCACACCATTCTGATAAGATCACTATGGCTTTTACAGAACCATTTGACAGAGTGAAATCTCAACATTAAATGTTTTTACTTACTTCTATGCTTTGTAGTTCTCCACTGAAGGGATTCTTGACTATCAAAAAAAAAAAAAAGAAAAAATAATTCATTCTATAGTTTAAAAATTGTTTTAAAAAAAAAAGTACGTAATCACTGCGATTTTATAACAACGCTGTATTGTTTAAATAAAAACAAACAAGTCCATAACGTGAGAAATAACAATTAGGCAGCTATTAGCATTTGACATAAGCTCCACATTTTACATCAGGCTACAGCAGCATTTAGGTTAAACCAGAATTCTGTTTATCTGCATATTTCACAGTTGTTTGCATGCAAAGAAAAATATGCTTGTCATTTGCCAAACACTTGCTTTAATGACTCAACCACATTAAAATCATAATTTGAAGGCTTTACATACTTCAGATATCTATTTAAAAAGTATGACTATTTTTTACTATTATTAAGCCACAATCCACATACAGAGCTGTACAACTACACAGTACTTAATGTATTGATGGAAGTAAGAGACAACACATTGAGGACTTAGGCAAGGAGTGTGATGTGCCTAAATGACCACTCTATTCCAAAGAGAACAGTTTGTACAGCTCCCCAAAGCATACGCTTATCTGTTATATTCCTCTTGGCTACAACAATAAATTCCTCAAGCAAGAGAAACTGAAGCTAGACACATCAACTGCACTCAAAAATGACTGCCTGGTAACTGAAAAACTACCAAGGCGGGAGGAAAACACCATTTAAAGCACAGTATCTTGCCTTTCTAAGCTATGAACTCAGACACCCACAGACTGAGCTTACACAGCAGTGAGCAGTTCCGTGTCCTATTCAAACGGGAAACAAAATTTCTACTGGCCTCAGTTCACAAGCACATACACAATCAGGATAAAGAAAACATCTTGGGAAACCTGTCACAATCTTGAAGGTCTGGATTAAGTGCCACCATATTGATGCACAAAGCACACCAAAAATGGGCATGTACATGGGACACACTGCTTAATGCATTTCTACAGTCCAACCTTCTAATTGAAGCACAGTAAAATACACGCACTGTCTTAACTGAAGTCCAAAATAAGTAACTCCATTTACACAATATGGTTAGCCTCCACTCCCAAGGCATCACACCTGTTTCCACTGCATTCCTGATTGCACCTGAAGGCACCCAGCAACAGTCTGTGATACAAACCTGACCCACACGAAGCCCTCCCACACAAAGTTCTTCACAACGCATCACCAGCTGCCTCCTGGCAGCCAGCTGACTGACAGCATCCTAAACCACACAGGATGACTAAGCTGACCGATTAGTTTAGTCACAAATGGGAAAATCAATAGAAATAAAGGTAGAGGCACTAGATTTCTATAAATTTGAAGCAGGATTTCTCATGTATGGGGAATGGAAGGTACAAAGGAATTGAAGTACCAACTCATAAAACAGTGGTTCCCTGACCTTTGCCATATGTAAAGTTATTTGGATATGTAACTGCAGAAGTCATAATGTCTGTAAAACAGTGCAACTTACATTACCTGCAAAAACTTCCAAAGCACTTCTGCCAGGAGACAGATGTTGACCCACTTCACCTTAATTTTGAAAAACAAGCAGAAGCGAGAATGATTACGGATTTATTACTCCTATACGCAGTGGTGATAAGGAACGATTAGAGCCAACAAACCACGTGGGGCAACAAAAATGTTTTCTGAGTAAAGAAAAGAGCCTGACCCTTTGAAACTCTGCAAACAAGAGGCTGTTCTTGTGTCTAGGCTCAAAAGTGTGTCACTTGCCCAAAGCAATAAATAAGTTCACTTCCTCTGACACCAAAGGAAAGAAAAAAAAAACCAGCCCAACACAGGGTCTGGTTTTTATAGACCTAAACACTTATTTTGGATATCAGACTAACAAATGCTAATAGAAGCAGAGGATGTTCAAATGAAGCCTTATAGTGCTTCGACTTCATTCCTTCAATGCAAATTCTCCAAGACTGACTGCTGAGTTATCAAACTACCAACTTTACAAAGCTTGTATGTATTTCATCATTAACTCTGTAGAATGTTTCCAGCACACTCAATTTTTAATCTCAATAGCCTGAAATGGAATTAGAGACACTTGAGGCTCTACATGACTGCCAACATCCCAATTTATTTGTTACTTATCCAGATTGGGTAACAATGGGCTTTTTCCAGAGTCAACCTTATTGTACACATATGAAAGCTTAACTGTATGATTTTAGATGCAGGAGAGACCTGCAAGACAGAATAGCATGTAGACTTCCATATATCTGACAGACGTGTTTCAGAACTGATAAAAGCCATGGAACAAATACAGTACAAGCACAGCTGCAAAGATGCCAAATGAAAGCTGCCAGCTGCAGTTGCATGTACTGCAACTAAGCAAAGGCAGTGGTGTTCCTGTGTTAGCAATGAGACTGGGGAAGTTGTGAAGTCAGACTCTTAGGTGAACAACTTCATATTTGGGTAAATTGAAAGACTGCCTTTATGAAGCATCCAGATGAGATACGCCAATGTTCCAACGTTTTCCTCTCTTTCATGAAGACAATATGACAAAAAAAAAAAAAAAAAAAAAAAACCCACTTCCCTTCAAAATGATTGAATCAATCCCTTTACATCACACAGTAGAATTTCTTAAATTTGTGATTTTATGGGCAGTTAACCAGTACAAGAGAGAGACATTCCATGCAGGATGTTAACCTAGGATTCCATGCAGGATGTTAACCTCAGGATGCTCAATGCCTTAAGAGGCAAGTATGCAACGTGCTACTGCAGCAACTTATCGCCTATGTGTGCAACTGATAGCTGTTAAGAAATCTGGATCTTCTTACCACTTAAACTTCATTAACTAGAATCAATAAGGCCCCTCCTTAGCTACTTCTATTTCTTTATTTTTTTCAGTTCTGTTCACAATCAAAACTCTTACCAAACCATCTCAGTTGCCACAGCCTCTAGTGCAAAGTTTTGATCAGCTGTCCCAGCTCATCTCTGTTGCTTCAATGCATTACATCCACATTATTGGTTCAAAAAAATTTTCTCCAAAGTTCTTAAAATACACAAGTTTATCTTAACCAGCAACAAGTCCTTGCTCTACCAAAGCAAATATTAATAACTAATTGCTGATAGAAAGCTTTCTTATGTGAACATATACTTCCAAGGCTTCTCAAAGAGGGTTCAATATCTCAGCCATACAGCACTGACTAAGAGACTTCAAGTGGCTTCTCTATCAAGCTCAATTTTTTATAAGCATCAAAGAGCTACATCTCCAAAAGAAATGAACTAGCTGAGTGTTCTGCATGGAGGTTTGCTATCCTGGAAGAAGAGCTGTTTTCCTAGCAAGGCTTTCCCTTGACTGATAACAGGACTATTTAACCTGAGTCAGAAGAAAATAAAGTATTTCTTTCTTACAAAGATATTGGAACAGGAAGGGACATTCTATTTAAATTCCATTTTGAAGAGGCAATCTTATTTAAACGCTAGTTAATAAAAAACAAGACAACAAGACTACTGAAAAGCCTGTGAAATTAATATAAGCAGCACATAAATGTTTTTCAGATTAACTGAATGCCAATACCTCTAGAAGCATCTTTCATATGTACCTTAGTTGGGGCAAGCTGTCAGTGATGACTTACAGTGGCAGAGCTGCTTGGTCTCAAAGAACAAAAAATCACCTCTCTAAGGGTCACAGTTCCAAAGCATTCCAGCCAAAGCTGTCAGCACAAACACACCAAGTATCACAGAGATACTCAATTTTAAGAATACAAATGCGGTCAGTGTCAACACACAAGGTTAATTTCCAAGGGAATACAGCAGCTGTCATCTTAAAAGCAACAATGAAACCACTCACTGGCCCCAGTTTCCTGCCTAATACATTGGTAACAATTGCAGACAGTGTTTACAAAAGAATCCTTCAGTTTTTCCACAAGGACAAACAGAGAGCACAAAGTGGTATTTCTCCTCTTTGTCAATGCATGCTTTAACAGACAAGAAGCCGTAGCCTAGCTGCAGACATTTGTGAATGCAAAAGTCAGCTCTTACAGAGCCCTAATAGGCCAAGTTCCAAAGACTGACACAGCTTCACCTAGCAAGAAGATATGTACAAACATCTTAAGCAAGTGTATTTTTTTTTAGGATAGATACGAATCACTAAGGCAGTACAAAACTACGGTCTGTGTTTATTTTCTGGTCACTAAAGTTGGTTGAAGAAAAAAAAAAAGTCAATCCTTCCACAACAGGCATCTAGAGCTGCAGTACCTTGTCCTGAGCTGCATTACCATTCTTGCTGTCACAGCATTCAACACTTCAACAGATATCAAAACTGACACATGAAGAAACAGTCACAGTGGGACAAACCAAGGACTCGTGAGCAATGTCAGGAAGGTTTTATTCTTCTGCACTTAACTGGACAGAGAAATCAAGAGATCACAAGCAAAAGCAATGATCTGAGCATAGGAATATTGATACTTCAACAGAATACTCCCCTAGCCATCAACAAATTTACACCTCAAATTTTCTGAGTCAGACAGAAGTTTTTTTTTCCTACATGCATCAGTAACAGTGTACTTTTCCCCACCAACTCGTGTAATCTTCCATTAAAGCCAGCTTCAGCAACATAAGGGACAGAGTTTCACAAGTTAACGTGAATACATGAAAAACCATTTGCTCTGCTTTTTCTGAACCTGCCACTTGCCAACTTGAGAAATTCCTCCTCATATTACAGGAAGCAGTGAGTAATCAGACTGCATTCAGCTCCTCCATAATACTCACCCCCCTTACTTCATTCCCCAGTCCTTACTCTTCCACATGGATGAGTCCTACCCCTCCTTGCTATGACACCCATGTGCCTTCAATCACAGTACAATTCTATGACTTTTTTCAGCATTGCTTTTCTACTTCATCTTTTCCACCATTGGGAAACAGACGTAGACACTACCCAAAAGTAAAGGAGTACTATGGATGTTCTCAAATACATATTCTCAAGTGCACTTTGTGCTCAATTCTCTTTCTCAAAACCACTACCATTGCATTTGCTTCTTGACCACTACTGAAAATCAAGTTACCATTTTTGACAGAAACATTGTAATCTCATAGTCTACTTCTGAAAGAACAATGATTTTATAAACCAAAAGCAACTTTTCAATGCAACTTTAAAGAGTTGTAAAGTCACATTTGCAGAATGAAACCCGTCAATATTACTTCTGAATGTGATAATTCAGAAAGCATTAAATGCCATCTCCACGAGGATTCAGAGACAATTTACAGCAATGCAAAGTTCAAAGCCAGTAACTTCCACAGAAGAGAGCACATTTTCCCTACAAAGAGAAAATTACTTTTCTCTCCATCTACTTAGACACACACAGACTAACCCCAAAGTATTAGTCTGACTTTTTTTTTTTTCTTCTTCCAAAACTTGTCCTGGAAAAGAAGACTTGTGCTCAATCAGAGGATAGCCTAAGGGTTTCCATTCATTTTCTCTTCATTAGAAAAAGAACGAAACAAAAATACAGATAATGTTAACAAAAAAAGCAACAATGCTGGAAGCTCTGCTATCCAAAACAGACCTCTGTGCTGCCTTGGAAACAAGCTGTCATTAATTTTGTAGTTCAAGTACTTTCAACATCAACCAAAGGCTCAGCCATTTTATTTTTGGTAACTCAAATCAAGTACTGATCCCACCTAGCAACATATCATGTATGTGTCAGACAGCTCCTAGTATGTCATCTCAACGGTCCTAAACCTTTAAGTTTGGAGGGAGGAACAAAAACTATTACAGCTCCTAAGATGTACATAATAACAGGATGTCTACACGCTTTCTGTAACAAACTTGGAAGGCACTCCTTTTAAAAGCCCAAGAGGATGTTTTACCACAAGTACGTCCTATTTAAAGTAAACATGTCAGCCCCTTCATGATTCCAGAGCTCCATCTTTCAGACAGCTTAAACAAAATAATCCTGCCTTTATTTTCCTCTCTGCAATTACTCAATACTCAAAGCTTTCTATGATCTCCAACTCCAGATTGTTTAAATTCAGGTGGAAACCACTTTGAATGCGTAGATCAAATATACATGCTGTTATAAGATGACACAAAGTCACACATAAAGCCAAGCAATTCCTTCACCACAGATATTCTTAGCTTCAGAACAGGTTTTTGTACTTCTAAATCAGTACATACATAAGATGAAAACAAGCTGCTTGACAGCAGCAGTTTGACCACTCCTTGGCTACGCTCCTTTTGAACAGTAGTGCAATCTGCCAAAAGGATTGGAGAATTCTAAAAGGATGTTAAGGAAAAACAGAGCTCAAGTCAGTTTTCGAGCTGTCTCAATCAGTTTAGTGAACTTTCATTAATAATTTTCTCCAGTATTATTTGAATTAATCCTGCACTCAAATAGGCGAGATAAGGGTTGATGAAACAACCAAATTACTTCATTATCACTCCTTTTCTGACAAAAGCCTCCTCTCAAAGAATCAAAGTTATCTTTTTGTGACAGACATCCAGATATTTTTCTCTCTGCGCTAGTAGTAGCAAGGCCCTCATTATTTTAGGTAAAAGAACATATATATATATATATATA